CATTGTAGCCACAGCTGCCCTGGGGCGCACTGACAGAGGCGAGGCTGCCGGTCACTTCAGCTCAAACACAAAAAGATGTGGCTGCCGTTGTTCCTTTGAGCCAGAAAGTCGACCTGGGACAGCCACCTGTCCCACATGGTGATGTGAGCCCTGAAAGTTTGCCCAGAATGCCCTTTTTGAAGTTTCTGCATTCATGACGCTGATCAAATGTTCGGGTACAGACATTAATCTGGTGCAGCTTAAACGTGTCTTCAGCCCTGAAGGTGTCATGTCAATGTTTCCTGTTACTGTGAAGTTATTAAAGCTCAAAAATGCTGCAGAAATAAGAAAAAAAGCTCCAAATTAAACCGACCCTGAGGCTTCTGAACATATTCAGTGTGAGGGGAAAATGTTCTCGTGGCTTCATTAGATGAACTGGAGTTATTGTGTGGGAGACGCGTTTTCTCAGATTTGACTGTGACAGTGAAACGAGCGAGCTGACAGTCTCTCGTGCTCTCGTTCAGGAGTCAAAGAAGCGCTTTGACATGGACGAGGAGTTTAAGAAGCGGGCGTACCAGTGTGTCGTCAAACTGCAGAGCAAAGAGCCGGAGTTCATCAAAGCCTGGAACCTCATCTGTGACGTGTCCAGGAAAGGTACGTCGGGCTTTCATGCTAACAGGAATGAAATACTGGTCCCTCATTCAGAGCCGCTGGCCTTAAATTAGTCATGTGACACGAGAAAGGGTTTAACCCGTTGAAGCTCCTCCTCCTCTTTAGAGCCGCCCGTCTACCTGTGACAGGTTTTAATTATTTCTTTTGTTTTATTTCTCCAGAGTTTCAGAAAATTTACGACTGCCTGGACATCAAGCTCATCGAGAGAGGAGAGTCGTACTACCAGGACCAAATGGTTGAGGTGGTGAAGGAGTTTGAGAAGAAAGGTCAGTGTGCAGCAGGTCAAAGGTCACGGAGGGCATTTCTGAGCATTTAGGGTTACCAGAAATAGAGCTTATTTGTTCTCTTGATCACACTGATTTTTATAGAAATCTTCATAGAATCAGTTTTTCCTCTTTCAGTGGATAATAAAGTGCAGCCTGTAGTTTCTGAGTGTCGCCACCAGGTGGCAGCATTGCCTCATGAATGTTTGGTGCCCTCCTGTTTTTATCTCCGTGTCTTTTTTGGACTGACTGGACCTTCTTTCTTTCCCCTCTCATTAAACCGCCTCCATCTTTTTAAATCTCCACCTCAGGCCTGGTGGAGCTCGACGAGGGTCGTAAGGTCGTCTTCCCCCCAGGGCAGCCCATCCCCCTCACCGTCGTCAAGTCAGACGGGGGCTACACCTACGACACGTCAGACCTCGCGGCCATTCGCCAACGAATCTTCGAAGAGAAGGCCGACATCATCATCTACGTCACCGACAGTGGACAGGTAGGTGGAGACGCGACCACAGAGGTTTGGATTTAACTCTGAGCTC